GAGCTGGGCCGGGCCGGGCTGAGCTGGGCCGGGCCGGGCCGGGCTGAGCTGGGCCGGGCCGGGCTGAGCTGGGCCGGGCCGCGGCTGGGCCGGGCTGGGCTGAGCTGGGCTGGGCTGGGCTGAGCTGGGCCGGGCTGGGCTGAGTTGGGCTGAGCTGGGCTGGGCTGGGCCGGGCTGGGGCTGGGCTGAGCTGAGCTGGGCTGGGCCGAGCTGGGCTGTGCTGGGCTGTGCTGGGCCGGGCTGGGCTGGGCCGAGCTGGGCTGTGCTGGGCTGGGCCAGGCTGTGCTGGGCCAGGCTGTGCTGGGCTAGGCTGGGCTGTGCTGGGCCGAGCTGGGCTGGGCTGGGCTGGGCCTGCCAGCCCCCTGCCAGCCCCTCTCTCGGCAGGGACTTCATCGAGCAGCGCTACGTGGCGCTCAAGGCGGCGAACCCCGAGCTCCCCATCCTGATCCGCGAGTGCTCCGAGGTGCAGCCCGCGCTCTGGGCCCGCTACGGTGAGCGGCGCGGGCGGGCCGGGGAGCCCCGGGAGCCGCGCGGCGGCAAGAGCCAGAGCCCCCCGTTCCGGCCGCTCTGCGCGGCCCCGGCCCCGGCGGGACGCCGAGGAGGGAGCTCCTTCCTGGAGAGGAGCCTTTGGGGTCCCTTCAAAGGCAGAGATCCCCCAGAGGGTTTGGATGACGCTCAGCACCCTCCGCTCGAGCAAAGGGGGCAGCCAGGCCCCGGCGGGCGCAGCCTCTCCTCCGCCCTGCTGCGCCTCGCAGGGAGGCCCAGCGCGAGGCAGGAGCTGCGGCAGGAGCAGCGGGTCCCCGGGGGTCGTTCCCGGAGCCCTGGGAAGCTGTAGGGCGCTGAGGGGCTCCCACGGCTTGGGGACATCGGTGCTGCCGCCCTTCAGCGGTGCCGGGAGCTCCCAGGAGGCGGCGAGAGCCGGGGCCGCCACACAGGCCCTCCTGAGGGGAGCCCCCGTCGCGGGCAGAGGGGCAGGAGGAAGCAGCCAGTACGGCAGGGGACAGGGCCGAGCTCCGGGGGACGAGGGGGACGGGGGGCAGCCAGCGCTGGAGCCTGGGCAAACAACATCAGAGCAGCAAGGCACCCGTTTCTCCTCTCACGTTCTCCCCTACAGAGTTCGGCCAGGAGATGAAGGTGTCGCTGAACAACCTGAGCGTGGACGAGGTAGCCAAGGCCTTGGAGAACGTTGTGAAAAGCAAGATCTGAAGAGAAAACGAATCTGTACAGGCTGAAACTTTTCTGATGAGCTTTAATGCGAACCTTGTCTCTCGTTAAGTTATTAATCACATAAAGGCATGTGCTGACCCTGAGTGTGGAGTGTTGGGCTTAGAGCGGCAGTGCCCAAAGGAGACACTGGTGCCAGCAAATCCAGCAGGGTTGGTGTGCCACAGTCTCAGAAATGGTCTCAGCGGCTGCTGCAGAGCCGCGTACAAGGGCAGGGAGGAGCTGCTGGACTCGCTTCCAACAGGGTTGTGGTAGGGATCTTGGGGAGGGCTGAAAGGTGGGGAAGAGGCGAGCTTTGCCACGGACCCTGCCGTGGGAGCACGATCCTTGTGCGGAGCCCCGGGTGGGGGGTGGGTGAAAGCAGAGCGCTCGGCGAGCAGCATCTTCCTCCTCCTGGCGGTGCAGGGGCAGGCGGAGGGCAGGGAGGCCAGGCCTAGGCGAGCGCGGGCCTGGCGCTGCGTGAGGCCATGTGCAGCAAGGCCTGCGCCCGCGCCGCGAGCTCCGCGCTGCCCTGCTGCTGCTCCAGCGCCTCGTGGCCTCCCTGACGGACGAAGTCGGCAGCGGCCTGCGAGCAGAGAGGGATAAGAGGCGGCTGCGTCCTGGCTGCCTCGGCAGAGCTAAGACCCTGTGTGGCAGCGGGAAGAATGGAATCCTTGATTCCAACTGTAAGCCCTGCTAAACTACGTCCCTAAGTGCCTCATCTACACCTTTCTTGAACAGTGCCAGGAACGGCGCCTCCACCACTTCCTTGGGCAGCCCATTTGAATGTTTGACCTCTTTCCATACAGAATTTTTTCCTAATATCCAACCTGAACCTCCCCTGGCGCAACTTGAGGCTACTCCCTCTTATCCATATCAGTAACTATTCTGGAGAAGAGCTCGACCCCTGCCTCACTACAGCCTCCTTTCAGGAGGTCTCCCCTGAGCCTCCTCTTTCCAGACTAAACCACCCCAGCTCCCCCAGCTGCACCTCGTAAGCTCTGTGCTCCAGCCCCTTCCCCAGCTTCATTGCCCTTCTCAGGAGACGCCGTCCCACCTCGGGGCAGTGCAGGAAGAGGAGGTGCAGCAGCTCGAGGTACTGCCCCAGTGCCTCGGTGCCGCACAGGGTGCCCGGCGGCGGGGGCAGCGCGGCCCGCCGGTGCAGCTCCTGGCAATAGGCCGGGCCCTTCTCCGCGATATTGCACAGCACCGTCAGCACCTGCAGGGAAAAGCCGCGGCCAGCAGGACGTGGGATTTCTGACAGATTCTGGAGGGTTGCAAACAGCTTTCCCATCCCCTCCCACTGTGGTCCCTGTCCCAAGCCAGCCTCCAACCCGAGCACTGCACGTGAAGGGCTCGCATCCCTGGAAGCCGAGGGCGTTTTCCCCACATCAGGCACAAGATGAGTTCTTACCAACACACTCGCGGTCTGGGAATGCGGCAGGAGTTGCAGCAGGGCCGGCAGCAGGTCCAGAGCGAGCAGGGTGGAGCAGAAGAAGGGCTCATCCGCTAGCAGGGGACGGGATGGATGCGTTAGTGCAGCCCAGGCCTCGAGGCAGGAGGTGGTTGGTACCAGCCGCATGCGGCCCACGCGAGGGGCTCGACACACTCAGACGTGCAGTGCCAGGGGACAGGCAACCCCTGCCCACCGCATCCAGCCACAGGCAAAACCCATCCTGGGCCTGCACCGAGGCCTAAGAGGAAAGGCCTGGTGGATTTTTGAGCGTTTCTGCTGTCACACCTCAGAAGGGAGAATTTCTCCATCCCGCAGACAGTGCCACGTTGGGCACCTCGTGGCCATCCCTCCCGCCCTGGCTCTGCCGGCCGGTACAGCAGTCTCTGCGTCTCAGCCGAGCAGCAGCAGGCCCAGCTCTGCTCACGTGCAAGCAGGGACACTCACCCGTAAGGTTGTTGAGCAGCCAGAGACTCTCCTGCACGATGAAGGGGTGCTCCTGGAAGAGGCACTGCAGGATGAGGAAGAGGGCCACGAGCAGGCGCTCGTCCAGGACGCGCACGTCGCAGCCCGCCGTCTCCTCGGCGAGCAGGTTGCTGAGGCACCGCAGCACCGGGCACACGAGCTGCGACGGGGAATCATCCTGTCCTCAAGCCGGGCCCACAGCGCTGCTGGGGGCGGCAGGAGCCCTGCGCAGCTCTTACCAGCTCCAGGCCTTCGGCAGCGCCTGGGGACATTTCGGAGGCCACGTCAATCAAAAGCGAGGCCAGAGCCGGCAGAGCCCCCAGCGCCAGCAGCGCCGCGTTGGCCACGTGGCTGCAACGGGAAGGGACAACACAGTTGCTCTCCGCACCCAGCCGGGGGTCCGCAGCCTTCGCCAAACACCCGGGTCTGGAATTACTTCCTGCCCTCCCAAATTGCCACGGGTTCACTCCATGTTCCAAGAGCAGCGGGTCTCAGGGCAGGCACTTTTAGAAAGCTTAAAATCCCATGGAAAAATAGACGAATCCTCAAAGTGGCTCTGGTGCCAACGAGCCCGGCCATCCTCCCAGAAGCCACGGATTCCTGCCCTCTTCTTCAGGGATGCCGAAAGATGCGGCACCAAAACTGCGTCTGCCTCAGCCTGGCTGGTCAGCCGCACGAGCCCGAGCGTTCAGGGAGCTTGGGGAGGGCAGGGCCACACATGAGGAGGCAGGAAGGGGTTTTCAGGGGACGAGGAGCAGCCCGGCATCCCTATCAACAGCCTGAACCGGGAAACAAACTCTGCCCTCCCGCAAAGAGCAAACGTGCACTCAGAGGCACAGGCTGCAGCTGGCAGAACTTCTGTATTTCTGTTTTCAGCTGCCCCAGGCGGCTAGAAATAAGATGACAAACATTTTTACCTACAAACGATGTAGTGGAGGCACCAGGCGAACTCCACTGCGGCGCCTACGCCAGACTTGAGGCCGGAGCAGACCAGGCGGAGCATGTGCTGGAGGAGACCAGAGTCCAGCACCAAGCTGGGGGCAGAAGGCAGAGTTAACGGAGCCACGGGCAGGACCGACAACAGACAGGCGGAGATCAGCCCCTGCGGGCAGGCGGGGAGTTGCTCTCCCCTGGGTGCTCCAGGCAGAGCCATACGCTCCAAAAAGCACCTGGACGAACCTCTCACCCATGGGCTGCACGTCTGAGGTGTGATGAAGGGCAGCTCCCCTCAAACACCCGCTGGCTGCTTACAGCCCATGGATTAACGAATCCAGACCGCTCAGTTCTGCCCGTCACGGCTAATACCAGGCCTGGCACTAACATCCCCGTCCACAGCAGCGCCCTGGGGACACCTTGGCTGGGCTCCTGTCTCTGGTGCTGGGGACTGTCATGCTGATCTTTCCCCCGGCAGCAAGAACGTGGCCAGAGTTTCCCCACTAGCCCCGTCCGCTCCTCGCTGGCCTTTACTGAAATACCAAGGCTGTCTGCTCAGATGAAGCTGAAGAGGGAACCAAGCCCCACACGCTCATCTGCATCAAATTTATATTTATCAAATCATATTTCCGGCAGGCTTGTGCTCTGAACTGTTAATATCCCCAGGGCGGGAGGTGCAGCACTGCATGCAAATACCACGCTGGGCCCCAGGGCCCATCCTGACGGGCAGGAAGGGGCTCAGACTCACGGCACAATCTCCGTGGGGGCTTCCTTGGCTTGGAGCAGCTGCGACAGGACATAGCCCAGACCTTCCAGCACTGCCTCATGCGGGGACTGCGATTAAAGAGAACGAAGCTAATTCCACAAAGCTGACCCGAGGGGAACGCGGGGTGCCGGGCAACACGCAGGGGAGAGGGTGACACCTCCACGCGACGCCAGCAGCGAAGGGGCACAGTCAGGGCAAGAAGGGGCAACCCTGGGGCTGGCAGCAGGGGAGCCAGCCCAGTCCTCACGCAGAGAGGCCGCAGCAGCAGCGCTGCTCTGCACACCTAGGTGTGCTGACGGCAGCTCCGCCGCTCCGCACTGGCCTGTGCAGCGGGGAGCAGGCTCTGCAGCACTGGGCGCTATGCGGGGACAGTTCAGCCACGCGGCAGTTACGTGTGAGAGAGATTCAGCTGGAAACGAGCGCGAGGAGGCACCTCCAGGCCCTGAACATGGTATCCCGGAGGGCCCTCGTGAGCTCCCCCATTGCATGGGAAGAGGCAGCCTGAGCTTAGCAGGCTCCACATGCAGCGCAGTAACGCCAGGCAGTGTCTACGGGGCACAAGCAGAGGCCTATTCTGGCATACGGCATGGGAAGAGCCATGGCAGAGGTATTTCACCCACCTGGATGCAGGATGCCAGTGCTGGAATAATGCCCTGAGGCAGAAGCTGTTTCCTCACGGCCTCGCTTTCTACGACCAGGTTCCCCAGCGTGTATAAACACAGCTCCTGAAACACAGGTCACCTGCTCCATGAGCCTCAGGAGGACCCCAGCCTCAGCACCCGCACCCTGGGCCTCGCTTCCCCAGAACGGGATCTGTCTCCAGACGGGTAAACAGTGGCGGGTGCAGCTGGACTCTCCCAGCTGCCCCCGTTCCCAGCTAGACTGCCTTCACCTCATCCTTGTTCTCCAGCTTAGGCTGGGACTATGGGACATCCAATCATTCCCATCTCAGAGGTTTTCTGTTCCTCTTACTCCCATCACATATCCCTGTCTTTGGCAGGCCCTGGGTGATGCAGCTGGGTGATGCAGCTGGCCAACACACAGCTAGTCCAGCTAGACCCAAAGCCAGACCCACCATTCACACCTTCATGTGGATCAGCCTCCATGGATTGGAGATACAAGCACCCCGCTCTTCCTCCCCACCTAGATGGAAGCTGTCTGCTTTTTTGCTAGACAGGGCAGCCAACAAAGTACTGATTCTCTCATTGCAGGCTGCAAGTGCTCACGTAGCCTTCAGTAGCTCCTGGCAAGTGCTCCAAGTTCCTTTTAAACATCTGAAACATCCTGCATTGCCGCCTTCTTGGTGCACGGACACCAAGCCCAAAGACCTGATAGAGTCCGAGTGCCACAACCCCCGATCCCCTCTCATCAAGCACACCAGGAGCATGGCCAGCAGAGTGAGAAATGGGGTTATTCCCTCTGCTTGGCCCTGGGGAAGCCACAGCGGGGTGGTGGGCCCAGTCTGGAGCCCCCAGACCAGCACAAGTGGGGGCTGCCAGAGCAGCTGGCCAAAACAGGGCCTAAGGAAACTCAATGGCTACCCAAGGAGCAGCGCCAAGAGCGCCCTGGTGAACACAGGCCTCGGCCTTACCGTGAACTCGACGCTGTGTCCCGAGAGGTAGGTGAGCAGATAGGGGGTGGCGGGCAGACAGGCCTCCGCCACGGCAGGCTCAGTGGCGTGGGAGAGCTCGTGCAGGCAGCGAGCGGCCTCCAGCTGCACGTGGGCCTGGCTGCTGGTGAGCAGCCCGACGAGCACCCGGACGCTGCCCTCCAGCCTGCGGAACCGCACGGTCGGCGGGCGCCGTCAGCCCCGGCCGCACGCAGCCCGCCCGGCACGGCCTCGCTGACGCCGTCTCGCGCCGCCACCGTCCCGCTGACCTGGCGAACGCGTGCTGCGTCTCCTTGTCCTGCAGCGCCCAGCGGAGGCGGCGCAGCGACCCGCTCCTGTCCGCCGAGCCCCTCTGCACCCCTCTGAGCAGCTCCACGACCTGCCGGCGGAGCCCGCAGATCCCAGCGGTGGCGGGGTGCAGCTTCCATCCCGTCCCATCCCGTCCCGTCCCCGCGTCCCCCGCCGCCCCGTGACCCCGCGTCACCTCCTCCGTCCCTGCGCCACCCCCGGGCGCTCCGTCACCTGCTCGTGGCTGAGGGCGCCGGGGCCGCTCTCCGCTCCGTCCCGTCCATCCGCCGCCTCTTCCCGCAGCAGTCTCTTGCTGACGAGCTGCTCCTGCCGCCGGGCCTTCCTGAGGGCTGCCGGGGCGCGTCAGCCCCGCGCGCCGCCCCCGGACAGCCCCGGGGTCCTGACGGGGAGAGGGCGCCGGCCACGGAGCGAACGGGGCAGGCGGGGAGCGAGTCCCGGGCTCGCTGCCCCGCGCACCGCTGGGGCACCGCTCCCTGCCCTCCCGTGCCCACTTCCGTGCTGCAGCCCGGGCGCCGGCTCCTTCCCCTCCCTTCCCGCCCCGCTCCCGGTCTCGCTCCCGCTCCCGGCCGCCGATCCAGACCTGCCTCCCGCTCCCGCCGCCGGCACCGCAGCTCGTCCGCAGCGCGGGCCCGGCGCCGCCGCCAGCCCCACATGGCGCCGCGGCCGGAGGGGGCGGGGCCTGCCGGGGGCGGGGCCTGCCGGGGGCGGGGCCTGCCGGGGGCGGGGCCTGGTCGGGTCGTGGGCGGTGCCGAGGTTGGGGGCGTGGCCATCGTGGGACGTTGCCGCGAGCTGGGCGGGGCCTGTCCGGGGGCGTGGCGGGCGGCCCCGCCCCGGCCCCCCCCGTGCCCCTCGCGCCCCGTGTCCCGGCGGGCGGAACGCTCCTCCCTGCACCTCGTTCCCCTACGGGCTCGCGGGGCGGCGAAAGTGCCCACGGGCATCCGGCCCCACCGCCACCTAGGCCATCCCGGCTGGACTGTTCCCATCTGCTCCATCCATCCATCCATCCATCCATCCATCCATCCATCCATCCATCCATCCATCCATCGCGGCCCATGGCATCCATGACCCTCACTGCATCCACGGCTGTAGTACCTGTGCCCCTGACACCCCATCCATCCCTCCCATGGCCGCCATGAGGTGCAGAGGTGCATTCCGATGGGAATGCAGCGCGTGCGGGCCATGGAAGCTCCCGGCAGGATGGACATGAGCTTTGCAGGGCTCATAGGACAACAGGTCTCAAGTGTCCTGGTGTCTTCTATGGTCTAAATAACCACCAGGAAGGCGTTATCCAAAGGACGGGTGCAGAATTAAATGTCTTTGAGGCTGAGGAGAGGAAGGAACTCCGTTTTCCACAGAAGTGGCTGTTTGGGCGAATTTGTGTCAGGTAGCGTGAGAAGAGAGTTAAAAAGCATCAGACCCAGCGAGTTAGAAACACTGATTTCCTTAGGGGAAGTGGCAAGGAGAACTCAAAAAGGCTGCTAGACTTTTCAGCAATTTGCACGGAAGTGGTTTTGCATGGCCAGAGAGTGAAGAAGGAGATCGCCGGATTGCTCGCGAAACGGAAGCAGAATAGTGCAACTGGGAGCCCGCAGGGCTGCAGGCGAGAGGAGGAACTGCCCCGCGCGTGAGCAGCAGCAGGGCTCTGCCGTCCGCGCGCCCCGCATGCTGCCACACGGCCGGGACCAGGACACCGGGAGCCGCGCGTCCTTGTTCGGCGCCTCAGCTTCTTCCCGCTGGGCCGCAACAGCAGTCACGCAGGGAGCGCGGCTTCCAGCGGCCGCTTCACGGTCCTTCCGAAGCCTTTCAGGGACAGAGAGAGATTCCTTGGTGGGGAAACGCTGAACCTTGCCACAGGACCTCTGCTCAGCTAGGGGCGGTGTTCCCATTCGGAGCAGGCCCATTCGGGCATTCCCGTCCGGAGCGGGCCCCACCGCCAGTAACAACCTCTGGGGCACAGTGTTGTGTGTGCGTAGCCAAAACGTGGCCAAGAGGAGCCGCTTGGCCAGGGACACGCTGCCTTCAAGTGCCCTTTGCAGCATGCTGCCCCGCGAAGGGGCAGACGGGACGAAGGACACCCTGTCCCTGTGCAGCAATCCCTGGGACACGGGGACCTGGGGACAGGGGTGCAGCGCGCCCCGACCCGCTCGTCCTCGCTGCCTCCTGGCCCGGGCTGACCTGGACCCCCTTTGCTGCAGTGGAGCAGAAGCAGCCCGGAGCAGCCGCTCCTGGCGGCCCCACCGCGCGCGGGAGCATCCCGCACGGGCATCACCCGCCGGCCCCGGCGTGCGGATCGGGGCGCCGCAGGGGTCACTGACCGCAGGCAGGGCAGTGGGAAGGAAACGGCGGTGGGCGGAGGGCAGGGCGCGCGCGGAGCCTTTGGCACCGGCCCCGCGGCTCTGGCAGCGGCACGAGGAAGTAGCTGCCGCGCGCGGAGCTCTCCGGAGGGCAGCCCGGCCAGCGGGTCCCGCGCGACACCCCCGGCTTCACCACTCCCCGGCCTTGCGGAGGCTTTGACAGCGCCTCTCAGCACCAGGAGGGTAGGACTGGCTACGGGAGGGAGGTGCAGCCCGTCACGGACCCAGGAGTGGGGAAATCGCTGTCCCCGGCTCAGCCCTGCGGAGCACCCCGGGCCACGGGCTGGCTCTAAGCTGGAGGCTGCTCTGGAGGCACCCACAGCTCCTGCGCCTCTTCCAGGGCTCCCCCACGGGCCGGGCATGCTCGGCCTCAGGAATCTTAATCTCTGACTGTTGCTTTTTCTGCAAGCTGTTACTGAGACTCTCCCCTCCGTTGTGCAGAGACGCGATATCCAGCGCGGACAGGGCAGTTAGGAAGCTTCAGAAAGGATTTGCTCATGTCCCGGGGGCAGCTGCATATGAATCTGATTCCTGCTTGAGGTGGAAAAAGAAAAAAAAAGGAAAATATGAAGCTTTCTTTTGCAATTTCCTGTCCTTGGTGGTGCCAGGCTGGGCAGGAGCTCAGAACTGCACATGTCCCACCTCGCGCCGACAGCTGCAGCTTCGCTTCACCTCACTCGGCCCTTCTAATCTTTCTGGATTCTCAAGCTTTGCTGGATGCTTAGTAACAGGGAGGGTGGTCCAGGCATGAAGTTTGTGTCCCAGAGCCGTCCTGGGGGATGTGGGGAGTTGGGCTGGGGTGGGGGGTGCCCTGGGAGACCTTGCATAACTCCTGGGTGCTGCAGTGCTGGATCCCGCCGCTCGGGAAGCTGGTGGGAAGGCCCTGGGTGCTGGCAGAGGTGCTGGCCCCGGTTCTCCCAGGCTGAGCTGCAGCCCTTCCGTAGCTGCTGCTACAGCCCATGGCTCTGCTCCCCGCAGGCCGCTCGCCATGATCGGGGCCGTCCTCCTCCTGCTGCCGCTGGGTCTGGTGCAAGGGGGCGGCCGCTGCGTGCTGAACCGCACTGAGGAGCGCTGCGTGTGCCGCCGGCTGGCCGAGGACAGCGTGGACAGCATCGTGCAGTGCCTGCCCGCCTCCGTCGTGGAGTTCTGGGGAGGGGACCTGCAGAGATACGCAGCCCTGCCCATCGGTGACCTGCAGCCCTCTGCCATCGACATGCTGGAGAGCCTCAGCATCAGGAAGCTCGTCTTTGGGGACCTCCTGGTGCCCGAGGAACTCCTTGCCCGCGTCTTGAAGTTCTTCTCCTACACGCAGGTGCAGGAGCTGGTGTTCGAGAGCTGCGCCTTCGTGGGGAGCAGCGACTGGGCTGACATGGACGGGCAGGACTTGCCCGTGAGGACGCTGCGCTTGCACAACGTGACGTCGGCGCCGCTGACCGGCCGCGAGCAGGGCTTCTCCAGCCTGCGCCGCTGGCTGGGCAGCCTGCAGGAGCTGGTGCTCACGCGCTCCCGCCTCAGCGCGCTGCCCTGCGCTGTGGGCAGGCTCTTCAGCACGCTGCGCTCCCTGGACCTGGCGCACAACGGCCTCGCCGACAGCGGCCTGGCCGCCGCCTTCTGCCAGGGCGCCTTCCCGCGGCTCCGCGCGCTGAGCCTGCAGAGCAACCACCTCCTGTCCTTCCACGGCGTGTGCCAGAGCCTGCAGCTGCTGCCGGAGCTCCAGCAGTTAGACATCAGCCGCAACAACCTCACTGCTGGCCTGGCCTCCTCCTGCCAGTGGCAGATGTCCCTCCGATCCTTGAACTTGTCCGACACGGGCTTGGATGAAGTGCTCACACCTCTGCCTCCCAATCTAGAGGTGCTGGACATGAGTTGCAACCATCTCCGTACTTTAGACATCTCTCTCGGCTCCCTGAAGATGCTCCTCCTCAGCCAAAACATGCTGCAAGATGTCTCCTTCCTCAGGAACTGCCCCATGTTGGAAGTCCTCTATCTAGATGACAATTTGATCTCGGAGCTGCCGTGGGACGAGCTGCAGCTCCTGCAGCACCTCAGGGACGTGGCTGCCGCTGGCAACCCCTACAACTGCTCGTGCTCCGGGGCCGGGGGGATCCAGAGGCTGGCGGCCACGGGGCACCTGGGGCCAGCCTGGCCCCGGGACTATGTGTGCCACTCGCCCCCTCGCTATCAGCGTGTCCTGGTGAAGGACGTGTCCGTCTCGGTTCTGCAGTGCAACAGCGCTGCAGTGATCGCTCCCATCTGCGTTCTCCTTGCCGTACTGTGTGTGGCCGGCGCGGTGTGCCTGGCCAGAGCCAAGCACAGGCTGCCCCAGGCTTGCCGCAGGGCCGCGAAGGGGGCGTAGGAGCATTGCCACCAGCAGCTCAGCCACGGCACGGTCGGCTCCAAGGGCTGCAGGGCTGGGAGCTGCCCAGCGGAGATCTCATAGGCCCCCAATGTGCTGGTGGAAAACCCTTTGGGGTGTCCAGTCCAGCCTCCTCCATGGAGCAGGGCTAAATATTAGCTCAGGGTGGCCACAGCTTTGTCTGGCCAAGTCTTGGAAAGGCTCAAGCGTGGACTTTGCCCTTGCTGTGCTCTGTCCAGGGCTGCACCCTGCCAGAGAGGGTGAGGAGACCTCACGAGTCCCGGTTTGCTCCCATTACCCCTTGATCTTATCTTTTCCAAACAAGAGTCATTTGGCTCCCTCACGCTTGCACTTCCCTCCAAGCGGCTCCTCTTAGATTGCCCTGAGGCTCCTCTTGGCCCGATGGTTGCAGCCCAGTTAAGCCCCGTACCTGGTGCCCACATTTTCGGCAGGAACTCTCTACCTACACTTTGTGCCTTTGTGTGTGTTGGTTGCATGTTGCCTGCTAGCAAACCCAAGCTGGATGTCCCAGTGAGGAGGAAACCAGAGCCTAGAGAGAGCTAAGGTGAGAGCAGCAGATTGCATAAATCAGGCCCAAGGAGCAGGCATGGATCCTGGATGGTTTCGGAGGTCAGGGGTTTTCGGCAGGGGTGGACGTGTCTGGGGACAGAGGGTATGTGACACTGGCGAGTTTCAGTTCTGATCAGCTGGAGGGAAGGGATGGAATCAGGGTGACGGTGCTCCTGGGAATGCTGTAGGTGTTTAGGTGGTGCTGGCAAATGTATGTTTGATCCATGTCCATACCTTGGGTAAATATTTGCATTTTTTTGAATTAGCACTTGGGCTCACCACTGACTTCACCTGGGAATGGGCAGCAGCAGCTTCCATCTAGTGAACTGGGAAGGAGAAATCCTTGTGTGTTAAGATCCCAAGACTTGCCTTCCCTTGGCAGCACCCAGATGAGGCCTCTGCCAAGCAAAGGGGGTGATCTGAACCCCCATTCCGCTGTCCTTGCTCCTGCTGACAGAGATCCGGATGCCATTTGCCCAGTTTTTTGGGAAGGCACATGTACCACCTGACATGGCCCTCTCAGCCGAAGGCACTCTGGGAAGCAGAGGTTCAGGGAAGCAGGAGCAGCTCCACAATCTCCTTCTGCAAATGGGAATAATGGCAGGCATGAGAAAAGGTGTGTGTCTCCCTGTGGGACCTGGTCCCATCCAAATGCAGGGGGCAGGGGCTGTCCTGGCACCTCTCTCTTTCATCCCCCAGTCTGCATTTCCATGCGCTGTGGAGGCTCTGGCTTCAGCATTTCCTTTTGTGCTTTCTTGGTACGACTGATTTCAAATAAACTTGGTTCCACAGTTTGTGGTTGCTCCTTTTGTGTAGAAAACCTCCACGATGGTCCAGGATGTCACCAAGAGTGACATCTGGCCTGCAAGGATGTCACTTGTGGAGCTTGGTGTGTGACAATAGCGGGCAAGCGGCCTCCATGGTGCCAGCGGCCCCTGGAACTGGGGCAGTGCCAGGAGCACGTGGACCAAAGGGCACAGCTGCTCCAGGACACCTTGTCAACCCAGCATCAATTATGCACAAGTGACACAGCGACATGTGGCCCTGCACCCCGGCAAGAGCCCTGGCCACAGCTGCCCTCCCCATGTCCTTTGTCCGAGGGCCTGGAGGAGTTGGGGGCCGTTGGCATGCAAGGGCCCACGTCGAGCAGCCTCCAGCCTGGCTGGCCTCAGCACTGGGGACACCTCCAGGCTGGGCTCTGCCTCTGCGTGGCTCTGTCCCCGGGGCTGTCACCCATCAATAATGCATGGAAACGTGATCGTCCCAGTGCCCTCAGTGCCGGCGCTGTCCCAGACGCCGGCTCCGAGTCTCCTCGCACCAAGCTGGTCATGGCTGCTGAGGAGGTGAGTGGCTGTGGCAGGGACAGTGCAGGCTGCTTTGGGGGTCTCTCCTCTGCCCTCAGGGGGCTCTGATGCTGCCTGGGCCCCAGGGCTCACCCAGGTGGGGCAGGACCCACTGCCCTTCCCCGCATGTCCCTGCAGGCCGAGCGGGACGTGCGCGTGCGAGCGGCTGTGGGTCTGCAGCGGGCAGCAGGTAGGGCCAGGGCTCGGCACCCTGCCCAGACCCTGCATGGGGAACCAGGCCCGCGTGCTGCCGCCTGGGGACAGCAGCCACTGTGCTGGCGGGGGCAGCGTGGCTCTTACTGGGGGCACTGGGCTGAGGGCGATGGAGGGGAGAGGGCACCCTCGGCCACGCAGCAGCGTCGTGGGGTACGGGCCCCGCAGGAGGGCACGGGGTGATGGGAGAAGTGAAGCCCCTGGGACCTGGCAGTGTGGGGCATCTGGGGGCCTGGGGGGTGTCCCCTTCCCACCATCACTCTGCTCGGTGTTACAGGGCCGGACGAGAGCCAGGTGGCCGCCAGCAAAGACCCCGCGCAGCTCCTCTGTGCTGAGAAGGGGGTCCAGGTGAGAGAGGCAGGGACAAGGGCACTCAGGGGATGAAGGTCCCTGAGGGACGAGATGGGAGCAGGGGTCCCCATTCCAACCACCTGGCAGACCATGAGCGCCAGCAGAGACCTGTCACATTCAGGATACCAGTGGGTGCTGGTGGGTTTGGCTGATTTGTTCTACACCTTTGTGGATCGCTTTGTAGTGTGGGGTTTCTGAAGGACACCAGGAGAAGGAAGGGGGTCTCTGCTGTGCTCCAGACCTGTGCCCAGCCCTCCGGGCCATGCCCACATCCCAGTCCCTCCTGCAGCCCCTGCTGGGACATAGGAAGAGTGACCATTAACATGCTCATTCCCTCATGCCAGGAGAGCTGCTTGACCATTGATGGCATCTTCCACCTGGATGCAGGACAGGTACTGTGGCCCTGGGTCCTCCTTCTGGACCGCCATGCCCACATCGCTCCCCAGCTGGGTGCTGCATCCGTGGGCTGTGCTGGTCCCAAGCAAGGGCGGGTGGCTCTGCAGCTCACCCGCCTCCTCCTCAGAGGGATCTGGTGCCACTGACACCTCAGGGGCTGCAGGCCGTGCTTGGCACCTGGGATGTAGTCTTGCGTGTGGGTCTACTGCTGTTTTTCACCACCTCCTGCCTCCCCTTGAGTGCAGAGATGTGGTTACCATCTGTGCCACGCCATCTGTGCCACGTTACCTGCGCCACGTCGTCTGCGCCATGCCATGGGTGCCATGCTGTCTGTGCCATGCTGTGACATGTCTCCTAGGCCATGCTATGTGTGCCGTGCCATTGATGCCACACGGTCTATGCTGCGCTACATTATCTCTGCCCATTCCATTTGTGCTGTGCCATCTGCACCTGGCCGTGCCAGCTGTGCAGGCCTCTCCCTGCATCTGTGTCTGTCCTTCCAGGAGAAAGTTTTGGAGCTGGCAAGACCCCAGTTGGCCCTGATGCCGCTTGGGTATAGCGTCTCCCTGCTGCTGTGGGGCCCCCGTGCTCGTGGGACGCAGCTGCCGCTCCAGGACATTGTCCGGCAGGTGAAGGTGGAGCTGCGGCCGTGTGTCCAGCAAGCCCTGCCAGGCCCCAGGCTCCCACTCTGGCTGGCGGTGACGGACTCATGCGGTTGGCAGCGAGTGCCAGCCGGGGTGCTGTGGCTCCCAGCGCGGCCCGCTCGTCTGCAGGTGCTTGACAGCGTTTTCCAGGAGCTGGAGGCTGTGGAGGGCGATGCGCAGGGCCTGCAGACTGTCAGCCTGGTCCAGGTATGGTGGGAGCAGGCCTTGCTGGGGAAGGGTGCCCCGGGCCCCTGCTGCCACCAGCCAGCCCCTGACGTGCTGTGTGGCTTGCACAGGACCAGTGTCCAAGCCTGGGGGCTGGAGACCTTGCTGTTCCAGGCTTTGTTGCCTCCTCGGAGGACACTGTAGGCGAGGGAGGCCCAGCCTGCCCAGGGGGTGTCTCCTCGTTTCTGCAGGGACTGTTACCTGTCCTGTTCTAGCAGTTTGGTGGGCACGGGTATCCCTCCAAAACCTCCTTTCCCACCCTCTGCTTGGGCCTTCCCTGGCACCAAGGCGATGCCAGCTTCCCCTGCCAAGCCAGGTCCTTGCTCTTGGCTCTCACATGCAGCCAGGCTCTGCTGGGCTCTGCTTGCACTTGCATGTCCCAGGGCAATGAATGTCCCCATCCCTGGTCTCGGAAATACTGGAGGTGCCCCAAGACGTATCCATTCCTTGCTGCTGCATTTGCATGGGCATGAGCAAACAAGGGCTCCGGTGACGGCAGCGCTGTGCCCAGCGTTGCCCTGTTGCAGGTGTGTGCCCAGGGAGGAGCCTGGGACCTGCTCCATCCTGGTGGCCAAGCCCTGCAGGTGATGGACATCGCACCCCTGGGGCTGTAGGTACCCAGGGCCCCTGCGCCTGCACGCGGGCTCTGGCGGTCGGCGATGGGGCACGGCGCGGGGCACGGGGCACAACGCCCAACCGGGGAGGGGTGGGGATGTGTGAACACGGCCTCGCTCGCTCACGGCGCGCTCTGCTTCCAGCATGGTGGAGGGGGCGATGGAAATCACTGTGCCTGACGCCCAGTCGGCCATGAGCGTCTACGCGTGGGGCCTGGGGGGCAGGCAGCGCCCTGCGGCAGACGGGCGCTGGGCCGCGCCAGGGTGAGGACGCGGGGCCGCACACCATGGGAGCCGCGCGGCTCGCGGCGCTGCTCTGCGGGGCCCGGCCTCAGCGCCCGCCACTCTCCAGGCCCGGCTGCCTATTCACCCTCACGCTGGAGCAGGAGCTGCAAGGAGGCGGGCGCCGGCGCGCGGCCCTCAGGATCCTGGTGCTCGCTGGGGGCCCTGAGCCGTACGCACGGGAGCTGCAAGTGCCGCGAGCTTCGGGCTGAGCCCAGTGCTGCGCCGGGACGCCCCCGGAGCAGCAGTGCTGGGCGGGATGGGGGGCAGGCGTCGGGACCCCCATGAGCAGCTGTTTGGGCTTCAGAGGGGCAAGAGAGCCGTGCTAGCCCAAGGGGAGCCTGTGCCTGGGAGCACAGGCTGGCTTGGCCAGGGCCCACATCCCAGGCTCCGTGCCCCACGCTCCCCTCTCTGCAGGGTCTCTCTCGGGGTGCTGGCGATGGGACCCCCACCGGCCAGTGCTGGCTCCCTTCTCTGGACCGTGGAGCAGCTGCTGGAGGGGAACAGCCTCACGTTCCTGCTGCTCTGCGTCACACTGCCAGGTACTCTGGGGAGGGCCCGAGTGCTCCAGGAGGCCCTGCCTTGGGCCTCCTGCTGCTAGAACTCGGCTCTCGCGCTGCCTGCGAATGACTGTGGTGACCACAGGCCAGGCCCTGGGGCATCCTGGTGCCCACGGACACCGTGGTCCCTACCCAGGCATCCAGGGCTTGCTCCTTCTGCAGACACTTTGGGTGAAGAGGTGCTGGCAGCGCTGGCCCTGGCTGAGCGGGTGAAGGGGCTGACTAAGACGGTGTCGCCCACGCAGTGGGAGCCGGCGCAGGAGGCCGCGGCGCGGCGCGCAGGGATCCGCGCGCTGCGAGCCGAGCTCCTGGCTGCGCCCGGACGCCCGGAGCAGGAGGAGGCCGTGGGCCGGCTGCGCAGAGCCCTGCGGGAGCTGCAGGTGGGGAATGCCCTGTGTGCCACCGGCCTCGGCTGGCACTGAGGAGAGCCCCGTCGCCCCACGGGGACGAGCTCCTGGCTGTGTCCTGGTGCCACAAACCCTTGTCTGGTGCCGCGGGCATGGGAAGGAGCCAGGGGTGCCCTGCTTGGTGGAGGGGCACTGGGGTGGGACGTGGCCATGCAGATATGCTGTGTCTGGAGGTCTCCAGGGCTCTTTTTCCAGGTGCTGAAGAGCCAGAGGTGGGAGAAGAAGCAGATGGTGACCCAGGCATTCAGGGCAAACCAGATGCATCCATTTGGTGCTGAGGTGGGCACAGAACAAGTCACCCTCCATGGAGACAGCCTGGGCACAAGAGAAACCCTCAGACTTGATGACATCCCCATAATGTCCCCTCCTGCTCCCATAGGACCTGGTCCCTGCAGGGAATCCAGCACGGAGTCAAAATGCAGGGACCCACGAGCCCCTGCATGGAGCCAGGCAGCAGAAGGGAGGTACAGAGCATGGGGACAGAGCCATGCCACTGCGCCCTGGTGGCTGCGACACGGCATGGGGCTGGGAGAGGGGCTCACAGCTTCCCTTAGCCTGGCTTCTCCCGTCCGCCATGGCCTCCTTTCCCAACAGGGAGCCAGCGCTACTGAGAGCTGCTGCACTGGGAGCAGCCGGGCGGCTGGGACGGCAGGACGGGGCCTCCCGGCACCCCCTTGGCCGGGAAGCACCACGGCCACCGAGCGGGGCGGACACAGCGAGCGAGCTCCCCGCCGGGGCTGTGCTGGGGCCTGGCCGCGAGCCCTGCGGAGCGGCCGGAGCCCTGCGGAGTGGCCGGAGCCCTGCAGAGCGGCCGGAGCCCTCGCTGCTCTCTCAGACTGGGAGCCCACGGCGATTGCGCACAGCTCCCGAGCTCCAGCTCTTCCTGGGCGAGGCCCGAGGCAGCACCCACAGGCCTGGCAGCGCCTGCTGCTCCAGGAGCTCGGCGGCCTCGGCCAGGCGGGGAGCAGGGAGCGGGCTGAACCAAGGCCTGAGGAGGATCAGGGAGAGAGCGGAGCTGAGCTAAACCCTTGTCAAGACCTTCAAGATTATCAAGTCCAGCTGTAAGCCCTTCAACACCATCCTGCTGCAACAGGTCTCTGAGTGCCTCATCTACCCATTTTTTTGAACACTGCCAGGGATGGCGATTCCACCACTTTCTTGGGCAGCCTGTTCCAATGCTTGACTACTCTTTCCATGTAGAATTTTTTCCTAATATCTAACCTGAACCTCACCTAATGCAACTTGAGACTACTTCCTTTTGTCCTAGGGGTAGTTACTCTGGAGAATTGACCAACCTCGGCCTCACTACAACCTCCTTTCAGGTAGTTGCAAGGAGCGATAAGGTCTCCCCAGAGCCTTCTCCTCTCCACACTAACTAGCCCCAGCCTCCCTAGCCTCATAAGGTCTGTGCTCCAGCGCCTTCACCAGCTTCGTTGCCCTTCTTCAGACACTCACCAGCACCTCAGTGTTGCTCTTGCAGTGAGGGGCCCAAGAGAGGGCCACCAGCACCTAGTACAGGGGGACAATCACTCCCCTGCTTCCGCTGGCTTCACTGCCGAGCCCAGAGCTGCCCTGGCAGGGAGCAGAGGACGTCCCCAGGTCCCTGCCCCCCAGCCCAGCCCAGGGACAGCCCGGCCCTGCAGCGGGGCAGGCGGCTGCAGGAGCTCACGCTTGGGCACCACCTGCAACCCACACCTCACAGGCAGGCGAGGCAACGAGATGGGCGAGGTGCCCGCAGGCCGCACGCCAGTGCAGATGAGCACAGCAGCAGGAGCTGAGCGGGCACCATGGGGCATTCAGCAGCCCTGGGGGTGCTGCCACAAGGAATAAAATGGGTGCCCTTCACCAACATCTGTACCGCTCTCCCCTTGAATGGTGACAGCGGAGGGCTCTGCCAAGCAAAGCAGGAGCCTTCCTGCAGGGAGCACAAACACACCGTGCTGTTGAATAGTAACTTTAATAGCCCTGGCAAAGTCAGCACCAAGTCCTGCCTGCCAGGAGCTCAGCAGCAGCAGTGTCCGTGCAAATCCAGGTGACGTCTCTGCTGAGAGGAGCGGACAAAACGGTCCCTGTGTTCCCACACTCGCCACCCGCTCAGCACCGAGCGGCCACATTGCACCCATGGAGGGCAAAGGGGCCCGGGGGTAGAAGGCTTTGGACAGGAACTGGAGTGAGGCAGAGGCTGCATAAATGTTGGGAGGAGGTGGGTGAGAAACCTCAGGTTGTGGCATGAGGCTCCCCCAGAGATCAACACAGAGCGCTGTGTACAGGACTGGTACTTCTAGAGCCCAGAGAGAGAAAAACTTCTTCCTCAAATTTCTGGGTGCCCAGCAGCAGCACAGAGCAGCCCAGGGCACCTCGCACCTGAGGAAGCCAGCGCCAGGCTCTGCTAGAGAGCGGCCCGCAGCATCACAGGAATCAAGAGGGTCCTGAGCAATGCGGGTTGCCGGGCTCGGTAAACGGACACAGCCCCGAGGGATCCTGGAGCCGAGAGCGCTGGCCGGCACGTGGGAGGCGAGTTCTTTGGTGCGCAGCAGATGGGCAGGAACAGCCGGTTGATGCCACGTGCCGGGATCTGTTCTGGGGGCCGGGCCCATCTGCTGGCATGGGAACCCCAGCACATGGAACGGCTGCTCTTCCCAAAGGCACTTGGAGCCCAGCTGGGCGGGGAGCGGGCTGGGCTGCAGCGCGCCCCAGCTCTCACCAGGACACGGCACCACTGCTGCTTTGCACGCCCAGTGCATGGCTAAAACCCACACAGAGAGGCCTTGGCCCATCTTTTATGGGCTGAAGGGCCCTTTCTCCAGCTTCAGGAGCTGAAGTCCTTCAAGGATGATCTGATCCTGCAAAGACCAGGAAGGTGCCAAAAGGAAGGTGCCAAGCCAGCATTTTTGGTTGCAGTGCCTTGGAAACAAGGACAGGTCACTCCCTTTCAGCACTCCTTCTCCTGGCATTCTTGCTAATCTTGCATGCACTGCCTAGAGCCCTCATGTGCCTTTGTTCCAGCTCAGTAATAACTCTTACTTGGCCACCTTGCCTTCTCGGGTGCACATACAAGGATAGGGAGTCTCACGGTCCAAGTAGCAGTATGCTTCTAATATAAGTCAGCCCGGGTATGGTCATGACACTCCTAAATAATGACTACAAGCTGCCCTGGTGCTGCATGCAGAGCAGGAAGCAGCAGCTATGTGACCCCATAGTACAAGTGAACAGCAAGACCGATACTCGCAACGGCGATGAAGAAGAAGAGGGTGAGCTGCAGGTCAAGGAGGGTGACAGACAGGAATGCATTGACCAAGATGGAGCAGGAGATCACAAAGAGCCTGGTGATGTTACTGCTATGCTTCATGACCACAGACATGATCAAGCCATTCAAAGCCTGGCTGACCACGATGACTAGCACCCAGGAGGAAAAGCCCTCCAGGAAGTCTCCTCCTGTGCTGCTCCAGAAGTGGCCAGTCACATTGAGCAGGACCCCAAAGAAGTAAAGGAAGAGGTTCTGGAAGCTGAGAGGCAGAGCCTGGGCTTTCAGGATAGCTTCTGTGTAGACAGCAGACAAGCCCGATATGAAGCAGTACACAGAGATGAGCAGCAAGCCCACCAGCGTGATGTGCAGCTGCATCTTGGAGGGGTTGTCGGGCTCACGGGGGTCCTGCAGGCCTCCACAGCTGTAGCTCACCCCAGCCGCTGTCAGCAGGAGGAGAGCCAGCCACTTGCGCAGGCAGAGTCTTTGGCGCAGGAAGAAGCTGTAGAAGAGAGCGGTGCTGACGATCTTTAAGTTGCTCAGGACCTGGAAAGTACTGGGATCCATGAAGAGCTGCATGTGAACCACCAAGTTGTTGTTTGCGGCATAGAGCAGGGCAGAGAGGGCAAAAGGGAAAACATGGTAGCACGACACAGTGGCTCCCAGCAGCTTTCGGTCCCGTATCAGCAGGATCAGCAGGGAGAACATCAGCTTCGTCAGCTCAATAAGAACCACAACAGACGAGGAGCTGAAAGGGATCTTCCCATCCACTTTGCACAGGTTTAAGAGGGGAGCGTGAGAGCCGTATATGGCCACGGATAGGACCAGCATCAGTGCCCACATCCCTCTCCGAAGCACCCAGCTTGCAGGCCTGAGCAGAAGGCCAGCAGCATCGCCAGAGAGCAGTCCCATTTTCGGGTGGTCACCAGCAAGGCCAAGCTACCGCCTGTGAGGGCAAGGAGGCCAGACACACTCACGCTCTGCAACATTCAAGAAGAGATCAGATACCATTAATTTAATGCGTTTAAGACAGGTTGGCCGTTACATTTCTGATGCAGGGGAAAGGGACGGTTGTGTTCTTCGTTTAGGAGAGCCCTCAGGAAGCCGCGCCGGCCCGTTCCTCGGGAACGGCAGTCACAGGGTGGCAGGGTACACAGGATGATGGGTCACCAGGAGCTTCTCCCTCAGTCTGGCGAGGGGGACAAGGGGAAAGAGCAGCTGCGAAGCACTTGGCTGCCCACACTTCCGAGCTACAAAAGGTTATCAGAACATTCACCTCTCCCATGATACTCTAATAAAGATTCCATCATCAGACCTGCTGATGTCCCCTCAGTACCTGATGGAAAGCATTTTTCCAAAGGAAAATCCTGGTGCACGTGGCTGCCGTCCCCGCAAGCCTGGGCGCCTCCCCCGTCCGTCCGCAGGGCCGCCTCAGCCCGGGGGCACCCCGCTTAGTCCCGGCCTTTCTTCAGCGAGCTGAGGTAGTCCCGGACCGTCTTCTCCACGTCGGGCACAGCATAGTTCTGTGCTGCGTAAATGCCCGCGCAGGTGCCCACGGCGAAGCCCAGCACGGCGGAGAAGCGCAGCTTGGCCACCACGTAGCCAGCCAGGAAGCCCTTGAGGAAGGGGGAGGCGAGCAGAGAGCCGTCCTGCGCCGAGAGAGGCGCCCTGAGCGCCCGTTCCGGGGGGCCGCGCCGAGCGGCACCCTGAGCAAGGAGGTACGGGGAAGGGGCGGCGGGGCCGCGCTCACCTGCGCCACGCCGGCGCGCACCTCGCCCTCCACGCGCCGCTGCAGGCTCTCCAGCTGCTCCCTGAGGAAGGCCAGGTCCTTGGGCGGCGGCGGCGAGCCCTGCGGCACACACACGCGCTGCAGGCGCCGGCCCCGCGGCGCCCCGCGCCCTCCCGCCCCGCCGCCCCGCTCACCTTGTCGTCCGCCATCTTGCCGCCGCGCGCGCGCGCTCACGGGGCGCCCGCCGCCATCTTGAGGCGGGGCGGAGGGACCGGGCGGCGGTTTCGCCCTCCCCGGGCCCGCCCCGGGCCCACCCCGGGCGCTGGCCGGAACGAGTCGGTGCGGGGCAGCGCGGGCCTCGCCGCGGCGCCGGCGCTCAGGGCACGACCATGGAGGCTGCGGCCCCGGCGTGCGGGAAGGCCCCGGCGCCGGGCACTGCCGTGGCTGGGGGCCGGGGTGGCGGCTGGAAGGGGGTCCCGCTGAGCAGCGCGGGCAGCCAGTGGGTGTGGGGCAGGGTTTGGGGGCACGGCAAGGGGGCAGTGACCCCTGTCCCCCAGCAGCTCCCCCAGGGGCACGAGGCTGCGCACCGCCAGCCCCCAGAGCAGCAGGCTGACGTCCCACGCTGGGCCCATGGCCGTGCCCGGGACGCTGCCCGGGTGCCTGGCTGCAGGGAGGCCGCAGCCGCGCGTCCCTGCCCTCCGCTCCCCTCCTGCTCCGGAGAGGCTTGGCCTCGGGCGTGTGGGGCTTGTGATCCCCGTTGGCCCCCGCGGCTGCTCCACCTGCAGCCCCAGAGCCTCAGTGCAGGGCTAGGGAAGGAGCTCGGAGGCCTGGGGAGGAGGCAGGAGACGAGGAAAGGGGTGGACGCAGGGAGCAGCCTTTCCTGGCCCGACGGAGGAGGAGAAGCCCCCGCACCGGGCCGGATCCCCATCTCCCTGCCCGCACCGCAGGGACAATGCTGTCGTGGGGAGCAGGAGCTTCCACAGGAGCCTGAGATCAGCTCTGCAGTGAGCGATGGAGATGCTGGAGCAGATGAGCTCAGCCCTTGGGTCGCTTCCTTCCTTCTGCTTAACTGGCGGACCTAAGGAGTGTATGTATAGGGACACAGGTTATAGATCCCCACTCCTTTCCTAAGCCATACGCTTTCTGCCTCTGCCTGCAGTCTCCCAAGGATGCTGTGGTCCACCTGTGGGCAGGGGAACGTGCTCCTAGCCATGGGGGAACCGGTCCATGTGAGTAGATACTAGAGGTGTGGAGGGAGAAACAGCTGCCAGAGGCTGGAGAGAGGAGGAGGACATGCTGAGAGAGAGGGATTGTGAAAGTCCCCCCGAACTGATGAGGTTTGGAGCCCGGCCGCGCGTTGAAACCCCAAGAACGGAAAGACCAGGGGTGCTGCGGGGCTGCCGGGTCCCCGCGGGGCTGCCGGGTCCCTGCGGGGCGGTGCACGCAGGCGGGTGTCAGCGGCGGCTGCTGTGACCCGGAGCTGCCCGGGATGCGGAGGCTGCCGTGCGCCTGCGGGATTGCGCAGGCACCGCGGGAGCCGCAGCGCCTGGGCGCCGCCAGCACCCTCCCTCGGGCCGCGGCTTTGTGTCTCAGCCCTGCCCTTGTGCTTGTGGCAGGTCCCAGCTGAGGGCCTAGAAGAATCCGGCTTTGGAGGCTCCTGGCCTGAGCTCCCGGGGCCAGCTGTGGCTTTGGCTGACGCCAGCGCCGAGCGGCAGGCATCCATCGGGATGTGCTTGATCCCAAATATGGGGCCGGGGATTCCCGTCCGGGCCTGGGCTGTGGGCTGGACAGCTCTTGCTGATCTGTTGCTGAGGGGCAGAGGGAGGCCCCTCTCTGCCGGTGCTTTCCTGCTTTCCTGCTGCAGGTTGCGGGGCAGGAACGATGTCTGGCTGGCTCAGGACAGTGCCAGCAGCAGGAACGAGGGGAAGAACCTCCCTGCTTTTTTTTTTTTTTTCTTTTTTTTCCCCAGGAACTGGATACCTCTGTGCAAACAACACTGTGGGTTCTTCCCGTACCAAGCGAAGTGGATTAAATGTTAGTGCTTCTTTTCCTGAGGGTGGAAGGTGAGCAAGGCATCCCCGCTGTGTCCCAACGTGCTCCCGATTCCCCAGACCATTCTTCGTGCCCTGAAGAGCTTCCTGCTCTCCCGGGCAGGCTCGGGGCAGTGTGCAGGTACAACGGGAGCAGCAGCCTGGGTGACTTCTGCTTTTACTGGAGACAAAATCAGCGAGGAAAGAAGGAAAACGAGCTAGGCTGGAGCTGGCAGGGGATGTTACAGGAACTGCTGTGGCTTTTCTTCCCGGAGCCTGGGACGGAGCTCTCCGAGGGACATTGGAGACCACAGAAGGGCCTGGGGCATTTTGCTCCACGTGGCTCTTTTGTGGGCAGAAGTGGGAGGCTCAGTCCTGCGTTTCTGGGAAGGGAGTCACGGGCAGGATAGTTCTGAGGCACCACCAGGAGCGGGGCCTGTCTCCAGTAGCTCCAAAGCCAACATACGGGTATCTGACTCGTGTCTGATAGAGTTTCTAGAGCAGAAACTACTTTTATCTGCACCCGAGGAATGTGAGGAGACAGGGTCTATTGTGAGAATGCTTTACTGCCTCGTAAATGGAATGTAAAGACAGAAGTAGCTGCGATTTTACTTTCTGTGCCTTTGTAGAAAAGAAAGAATAAGGTGGGACAAGAAAAGGAAATGTAAAGAGGGATGGAGAGAAGGAGTCCCAGGAGAACAGGAATCCCGCCCTTCTCCCACAGTGGCCTGTGCAAAGGTGAGATGCAGAGGGCAGACAGCAGCAGGGACATGGAGGTGGCTCCCAGCTGCCCTCCTGTAACTGCAGCAACCCTCCCTGCTTCCCTCCCCTGCAATATTTCATCTGGGGGCTAATGATGCACACAGCTGGTTACTTCTCCTTGCATGGGCTTGCCTGGAAAGCAAGCTTACAGCTCCCTGCCATTTCACAAGAGGGTCCTAAACAGCTGCGCAAAGGACAGGTGCGAGCTGAGGTGGCAGTCACCCACCAGCATCACGTACAAGGGCACCGCGAGCTCCTCTATCACCTGCGTGATTCGCACATTTGAGAGTCCATGCTGAAATGCTGTGTCCGTGTTTGCACAGGGAAAGAGCTAGACTGCACGCTTGATACCTTCAGCCCCATGCCACTTGGGAATTACAGCTGTCCTCTGCCCTGTTTTTTGGAGGAAAACTGCAGGATTAAAAATTTAACCATAGGCAGGAGGTGGCTCTTGGGGAATGTGCCATCCTTTCCGATCGCGTTGAATAACCCCCTTTTACAGCAGGGTTTTAGCTCCACGAAAGTAAAAATCAAGAAAAAGAGCGCGAACACGAGGGGCTTTCGTGCCACGCGGGAGCAGAGCTGCGGAAGCGCCAGCAGCGCCGCGGCCTCGGGGAGAGGCTGCGGCCGACGGAGCTGCTCGAGGGCGGCGGAACGGCGCGGCGCCGCCCGCGGAGCGCGCACCGCAGCCTCTGGCTTCAAGGCCCAAGCGAGGACAGGGCAGGTGGGAGCACCAGCAAGTCCTGGAAAACTTTGGACCACTTGGAGATGGCTCCACAACGGGCCGGGTTGTGGGGTCCTCCAGAAGATCTCTTTTATTAATGCCAACATCTTCATCCAAGCCACTGCATAACATCTTAAAAGCTTTGAAAGTCACTCCGGCTCTTCTGTTAGAAGGAAGTGTCAAAGCCAAGACATCTATTTGGCACAGGAGTCAAGACACAGCAGGCAGAAGTTACTAAGAGTGTAGGCAGAAACGGGAAGCTGCTTCACTTTCCATGATCCGTTCACTATCAGTGTAATAAAAATAGTCCTTTTAGCAACCTTTGCAAGGACAAGGTCCCATGGGCAAGAGGGAGCCCAAGAAGAGGGAGAAAAGCCAGCATCAGGTGAACAAGTGATAGCATAGCCACGGAGTGCTGCAGCTTTGTCCCTCGCTCTTCTTTTAGACCGTGTGTCTGTCTTATGCTGCTCAAAATGAGCTGTGAATCCAGCCGAGGTCCAGTTCCCACCATGACCTGAATTCCTTTACATGACAAAAAATGTTCTTCCAATTTTTAAGTGGAGCCTTGATATATCTGTAGCTCGGGGCCAGAGAACTGTGCAAGGTTCTGGAGACAAAAAGGGTCGCTCCAGAAACCCAGAGTTGGTCGGTTCCCCAAGCCAACTTATAATGCTTTAAGACTTTAAACAGTGCCAGGTACCTGGGGATTGATAGGTGGACATGTTAAACAGCTGTTACAGAAGAGAACCCAGCCTGGGCTGAGAAGAGACCCCAGATCAAGGGAACTGGCTTGCAGTAATGACAACATTTTGTAGTGCAGCGCAGGTTACCCCTGAGAACCTTTCTTGCCGGTTCTGGAGTAGCCAAAACCTGGCTCTGGAATAGCTGGGAAACACAAAGCTGGCCAAGGTGCCAATGTCCTTTGCAACCCAGCAAGAGATAGGCGGAGGTTTCCCAGAAGCGCTGGGATTTCCAGCTCCCAGGAGTGTGATCCCGCAGTGCGCAGCCCTGAGGAGGGGATTACAGGACATGGCAAAATATGGCTCTTTATACCTGAACTCAGTCTTAAAATACCCAGGCCTTTCAGGGCTGTTCTCTTGAACACACACCTTCCTCCAGAGACGCAGGTCTCCGTTGGGCTGTCCCACCCGCAGCAGGGCCAGGGCCGCTGTGGGCCTGCGGGCAAGGACAGGACAAGGGACACGCGAATGGTGGTGGCCCAGAGCAGCGGCTTGAGGCCCAGGCTGTCCCCGTGCAGCCTCACCAGCCTCAGCTGTGCGCGTGTCCCCACGGCGGGGCTTTGGCACATGCAGCACCGCGTGCTTGGCGCATCCCGCTGGCCTCGGCACGGAGGCCGGAATCGCCATCAGGCCCTGAGGAGCCGCCTGTTTGCAGCAACGTTTGCTGTCCCAGCCCCTCCCTTCGTGGCCATTTCATCTGCCCGTTGTCTCTTCCACACAGATGTAACACCCGCAGATAAAGCTGCAGATTAAGGYTTTACTGGATCCTGAAATGGGTTCTGATTCCCAGGCCTGGCAGCACTAGCGCGAGGCCAAATCTCCCCCATGTGCTGGCCGGGCCACAGGGGCAAGAGGCGCTTCCCACATCCTGCTCCCGATGGGCACGAGGGAGGAGCCCAGATATTTACCCGGACTTGTTTGCTAAGGGGCWGTTGCTGGGGAAGAGCAGTTCTGCCCCAGGAAGGAAAGCAGGGAGCAAAGGGAGGAGGTGGGGCTCTCACACAGGAGACTTCCCAGAGAGCCAGGGAAGCTGCGGCTGATCTGTGCTACCTGGGGCCGGGGTGTAGGGGCCTCCRGGCTGCCTGCAGTGCCCTGAGCCTCTTCAGAGCATCCGCGTGCTCGACACCTTCCACGGAGTCTCCCTGCGCAGCTGGGGAGCCTGAGTGCCCCGAGGGGCCCTGCCTGGCTGGCCGCCTTGAGCGCCCCTCAAGCACCGGCTGAACTGAGCTGCATGGAGGAAACGGTCCCACCCCCTCCACAGCCGGGACAGCAATGCTAAGGTCATCAGAGGAAGCCTCAAAGCAGGGCCAGGGCACTTGGGACATTTTCCGGGGCTGCAGAAACTCTTCCAGGGAGGGCACGGGCGCAGGGAGGGCAGGTGCTGCAGTCAGTGCACGGTGCAGAACCACAGGGAGCAGCAAACGCTGCGAGGTCCCTCCTGCCGCAGGACTGCYGGCTGTCACCCTGTCACCCTCCTTTCCCACGCGGAGGGCGCGGGGCCGGCAGTGAGGACACTGCTGTGCGGCGGCACGGTGGCTCCTTCGGGCTGGGGGCTCCCCGGATCCTGCTTCCCCTGTGCCTGCTCCGCATGCCGGAGTAGCCGGGAGGTGCTGGGGACCAGGCACACACATAAGCGCATGTGGGTGGGATTCCCCCAGGGGGGCAGGCTGTGGAGGGTGCCCAACATGTGGAATAACACAACATCCCCCAGAGGAAAACGTCTTACACGACACAGGTCAAAGCAGATTAAAAAGGCACAGGTGAATTTATACGCATGAGAAATACATAACATAAAGGACAAATAAAATGGGAAGCAGGTCACAGGACTGCGATTTGAGCTGGTAAACGCGATCCCGGGAAGGTCATGGTGTTATGGCTCTTGTGAGCCGGTGGGGAATGCAGCGACGTGTGTCCTTCGCTGTGAGGGGCTGAGGCTGGCAGAAGGAGGCGCAAAGGCCCGGGGCTGCAGAGCAGGGCTCAGGGGCAGTCGCTCCGCAGCGGCTGCGGCAGGTCCGACTCACTGATCTGGAGGCTGAGCTCTGCGGAGCAGAGGGTGTCGGGACACACCGCGTACTCCTCCTGACGCTGCTGCTGGAGGTGCTGCAGGAGCGCACGCGACAAGAAGTGGGGCTCAGCTTCCTCCGACTCTGCGGCAGGAGACAAAACCCCTCGTGACTGCCGTGGCCTCGGGATGGGTCTGTGTGGGGAGCACAAGCTCTGGGGGGTTCTCAACACATGCAGAATGGCCTGCAAAGCCTAAATACAGGTCTTGCCTCCCCACACCAGAGAAAGGAAGATAAACACGAAACACAAGGAAAGAGGTAAAATGCAAGCTCCGTGTGCTGGATTCCCAGCAGTGTTCATTGTGATGGGAACCACCTTGCTGCGTGGAAAAGCTGCTCCCTCTCAGGGAGTGCACAGAGTTTGCTTTGAAAAACAATGAGCTTTGTTTGCCTGAGAATCCCAAGGGCTGTTTTCAAGCCCGGGCAGAACTGGGGAGCTGGGAAACGAAAGCAGGGGGTGAAGCCACCAAGTCACCGCGCACACATCCTCTCCACTGCCGGGGAGGGCTTTCCTGAGGCAGCCGTTTCTCCTGGGCAACTCAGCGATTTCTAGAGGCAGCCCCTCCCTGAAAGGCCTGCTGCTGCTGTTAGTGCTTGGCGGGACATTGCTGCTGCCCCAGTGCTGAGGCCTGCTGCTCTCAGGCGCCCTTGGGGACTTCAGAAGGGGCCAGTCTTGTTGGCATTCTCCTTGCTGTGATGGCACTGCCAGCAACACGTCCCTCTGTGCCGGGGATCAAGCCCTCCTCTGCCGTAGCAGAACCTCCTCGTGCCCACGGGGCAGGGATATGGGCCAAGCGCAGCCCAGCTCTGCACATTTCCCCTCCCTCGCTCCAAGCCGAGGTCATTTAAGAGACCCAAAAACGCTGGTGCAGCGCTGGGTGCCCCTGCCCTCCTCCCTGCTCACTCACCCTCGTATGCAATGAGGCGGTAGGTGCCCACACACTCCTTGGCACCTTGCAGAATCTCCTCCAAGGTCCTGTAGAAAAGCTTGGCCTGCTCTACGCGGTCCTCTCGGCTGAAGGCAGCAGCCTCGTCCTGGGACATGGCGTAGAGAGACTGCAGAGGGGTGGCGAACTCCACCGCACACGTCCTGAGCTGCGGGGATGCAAGAGGAAGGCGCTGGAGAAGCCGGGCTGAGCCCCAACAAAGGGGTTCCCGGGAAGCCCAGTCCTGCGCAGAGTCCCTGAGGCGGCCCAGGAGCTGCCTCTGATTCCGAGGTGGGAGACTTTCCCCATGAGGTTTGGATCCCTGCGGACACCTCCCTTCCTGGACTCATTTCTCATCACGCCTTCTGGGTAGCCCTTTTGCTAGAGAGTGGGATGTCTGAGCACCTGACGGAGAGAAAGAAGGAAAGAAGGAAAGAAAAGAAGGAAGGAAATAAAAGAAGGAAGGAAAGAAAAGAAGGAAGGGAAGGAAGGGAGGAAGGGAGGAAGGAAAGGAAGGGAGGAAGAAAAGGAAGGAAAGAAGGAAAGGAGGAAAGGAAGGAAAGGAAGGAAAAGAGGAGGAAGGAAGGAAGGAAGGAAGGAAGGAAGGAAGGAAGGAAGGAAGGAAGGAAGGAAGGAAGGAAGGAAGGAAGGACGGACAGGCAAAGGGGAGATTTGTTAAGCCATAAAAATTCCTCAGAAGATCAGTATCAACACATCAGAGGCCGAAGCTTGCTGGGGAGTTAAGAGGGCTGCGAGATGATCAAGGGGCACGGAGAGCTTTCCAAAAGGCAGAGGAATGACATAATGACATCAGGCCTTTGTGGCTGCAAAGAGGGCGGCGTGAGCGACCCCGGGCAGCGAGCAGCCCCGAGGAGGCAGGGGGGAAGGCGCCAGCCAAATGCCGGGCCCTGCCTGTGTCCTCCTGGTGAGAAGAGCTGAGAATGGATTAGCAGAGACTCTGACCTCCATCCAGTGTGGAGGGTTGCAGCTTCCCAAAGCAGCCCTAGATGGAGCTGGTTACCACTGAGTGCTGGGTAAATACCCGGTAAATTGGCAGAAGTGTCTTAAAATGGAGAGGTTGAGCACCTCTGGGTAGATGCAGAGTGGTGGGAAGCAGCAACGGCCGTGGAGGACAGCCACTGCAAAGATAAAGGGGCTGGAGCAGGTCCCAAGATGGGAGCTGGGCCGTGTTGCCCATTCCTGAGTGAATCAGTAGCCAAGAGGGGTGACATTTTACCAACAACACAATGGGCCAAGTGGTTGGAGTGGGTCATGGGGGTGAGTTTCAGCACTGCTTGGCCCCAAGAGAGCCAATAGGGACTGTCAGGTGAAATATGGCTTGAGTGCATGCAACATCATGGGAAAAATCCAGGGGATGCCTCCATGAACAGGGAAGCCTTCTCAGCAGAAGAGATTATCTGTTGTTTTCCTGACTGAAGACAATTCCTGAAGGGGTTAAGCAAAAAGGCTGAGCTTGCAGGGAGGAAGCGGAGAGGRTGGCAGGCATGGACAGGAGCTCCCCATCTTATGGAAGGCTGCCAGGAGCTGCGACCATCTAACAGGTCTCTTTAGGACCACTATCCTGTCCCTATGGCCACCTGCTGGCACTGCTATGGCCCCTGCTCTCCTGATGCTTCCCTCAGCCTACCTTGTCTTCATCCCTGATTACGTAGAGGCTGTGCTTGTAGACCCTTCTTTTTGTGCCAGCTCGGGTCAGGGTTGTTTCTGGGAGGTCCATCAGGTACTGGATGTTGCTGTCAGCTTTCTCCAGATCATCACAGATGTCGCAGCTCAGAGGGACTAAAATGTGGAGCTTCCAGGTCTCCCTGTGCGCCAGCACATTGGGGTTGGCTCTGCTGAATTTCTCCATTGACTCTTTCAGGCCTGGTGGAAGAGGGTATTGGGAAAAGGTGCTGGAGTGAGAACAGCTGCTCTCTAGTTTGCTCCCCATTTCCCTGATAACATTGTAAAAGTGGGAGAACTGTTATTAGGGGCTATTTCTATCTGCAGGAGTGATAACGCAGGGAAACAATTACGTACGTGGCAGAACTATTTTTAGGTACCCAACATAATAAGACCAGGCGAGCCCATGAGCAACGTTCTGCTTGGACCGCTCAGACATCTCGGATATTTCCACAGCTGAGGGCTTCTGTGGAGGGAACAAAAGAGACACTGGTCACGAGGGCTTGTCCACAACGCTGCCATCTCTAAAATACTCTGTAGGAGGCACCCAAGCATCTACTGGGTTGCTTCTGCATATGGATGGTGGTGCGGTGACCCTTCTAGGGCCACTCAAGGCTCTTGCCAGAACCGTGTGCTGGTGTCCCAGGAACGGTGTGCTCAGAACACACAGGACCCGACAGGCTCTCCCTCCCTGCAGCATCAGGGTGCTCTCTTTGCCCCTCTGGCTCTGCTGGGTTCAAACGGAGCCTCCGGCGAGGCTGCAGATGAGCAGATTTGGCTCTGCCATGTACTTGGTGCTTGACTAACTCTTTGGAGACCATGTGAGCTGCGCTGCCCCTCCAAGCACTCGCTCAATTGACAGCTTTAAGAACACCCTTGTTTTGCCAGCTGAGCTTTGCCACCCGTCTCAGCAGGGGCTGCAGTGGGTGCCCGGGGGTGGTGCTCCCCGCACGTCTGTGCGAGTGCCGGTGGCTCCCGCCGCTGTGTGCGGCCGCGCGGGGCCCAGCGGACCAGCTCTGCGCCGACACGAAGRCTGCTCCGGCGGCGCCAGGCCCTCTGCCCGCCAGCGTCGCCCTCGTGCCCATCCCACCGCGTGGGCCGCGGCGCCGGCCGGCCGGCACGGAGCCTTACGTGGAGCCCGAGCGCGAGGAAGAGGAGCTGGCAGCAGCAGGCAAGGATGAAGTGCAGGCCAAGGGAGTGCCCGTCCCCGTCCAGGAGGGCCGCATGGGCCAGCCCGCTCACGACGAGCAGCGTGGCGTGCCAGCGCACGTGCAGGCAGGCGCTGAGGGCCCGCGAGAGGCTGCCGCGGTACCTGTGGGGACAGGGACACGGCTCCCACCAGGATCCCATCCTGCTGCCCGGCTGCGAGCGCTGGCGGAGCCCCAAGGCCGCAGCCTCCGCCCGGAGCACCCGGGGCTGCCACCAGCTGCCACGGGCCATCGCTCTCAAAGAGGATGCAAAAACTCATTACCTCCCAGATCCCGGGGACCTCGCGTGCCTTGAGCCGGGAAAAGGCTGGGAGCTGAGATTTATTTCCCAGGCATTATAGGTAAGCTGGGGAGCTGGGAAGCGCTCCATAGACACCAGCAGGGCCTGGGGGGTGGGAGGGGAGGAGGAGGAGGAGCTGAGAAGGGTGAGGCTGAAGGCTGYTGAGCAGGGCAGTGTCAGCAAAGGGCACGTGTGGGGACAGAGCAGGACAGGCTCAGTGGGGCACCACGCTGCCATGGAGGGCTGGGCTCCACGGACGCAGCGCTGTCCCACACCGCCTCACCTGGCCTCCAGGTGGAAAATCTCCTCGGCGAAGTAGCAGGTGCCCTTGAGCACTGCCCCGATCTGGAGCGCCACGAAGTAGGCGGTGAGTCCGCGCGCGGTGTGCGCCAGGGGCTGCCCGGCCAGGCAGAGCGCCGCGGCGCTCAGCGCCAGGAGGAGCCCCGCGGCCTGCTGCGCCCGCCCGGCCCGCGCCCGGGGGATGCGCGGCCCCACACCCTGGGCATATGCAGTGTGCGGCGGCCCCTGCGCCATCTGCGGGGAGAGGGGCCCTGTCAGCAGTGCACACACCCTGCGGGCAAGCACAGCCCGAATGCTGCGCTCAAATGCACAGCCCAAATGCTGCCAGCGCCCCTCGGCCCAGTCCTCTTCGCCGGCACGGGCAGGGACGGCGCCCGAGCTGCCTGGTGCCAGTGCTGAGCCCTGGCAGGTCCCGCAGGTCCCCAGCAGGACCCGCACGCGAGGCCCTGGCCGCCCCCGCCAAGCAGCGCCCGCTGGCTCTGTACCTGCAGGGCYGCGCTCGCAGTCGGTGCCGCGCTCGCCGGGCAGTCACAGCCGCGGCAGCAGGCGCTGCCGTTAACGAGCTCTGCTTTCCAGACAGACGCGGCCTCTGGCGCTTTCTGGAGGCCCAGATTTGCTGCGCTCTGAGGCTTTCTGGCGCCGAGGGTGGAGTTGCAGGAGTTTCAGCAACCGAGCGGACAGAATGAAAATGAAAATGGAAGGAGCTGCCCAGAGCTGCAGGCAGCTGGGCGAGTGCTGCAGCCCTCCCACGCGGGSCACACGCAGGAAACTCAGGCGCTGGGCAGGGCATGGGGACTTATGGGGTTTCAACATCCAGGATGCTTGCCCCTGCGGAAGGCCTCTCAGAGCAGTCAGCCCATCGCAGGGCAAAGCAGGCCAGGATGGAAAAGCAAAGCAGCAAGCTCGGGCTTGTTTGGTGCGGCAGGGTCCCTGCGTGGGGCCGGACAAGCAGATTCCTCCCGGCAAAGAGCTGGGAAGGAGGGCGACGCGCAGCAGCCTGGACCTGCACAGGGCACTGGGCAGCAGCAAAGCAGGGAGTTGTTGTAGCCGGACCGGGGTTGCTGCTCCTGGCCCCGCTGCCCCATCTGCTGTTGGAGTCTCCTGCAATGGTGGGCAATGGTGGGCGTTGGAACCCGGGGTTCGCAGGGCCTTCCCGGGCTCGCTCTGTGCTGCTGAGGTGCCCCTCACATCTCCACTCCTAGCAGCAGAGTCGGCAGGAGGCCTTGCCTGACTTAGGGTGCACCTCAGCTAGCAGCACTCACACGTGGCCGTGGGACCTGGAGGCATCACCCAAGGGCACCGAGGGCGCTGGCCAAGGCCATTGCGAGGGTGCCCTCCCATCGCCCTGGCAGCTCGCACAAACCCGAGCAATGGGAARGGGCTAAAGTCACGCTTACCGTGAAGGCTGAGCGAGCTGCAGCCTGCTCGGCCTAGCCGCCGTTCCAGGGAAGACAGGGAAGCAAAGCCTCCTGGCAGCCACTTCAAGCACCTGAGGGACCAACGGGGCATTGGGAACAGCCAGCAGGGATTTACCAAGGGCAAACTCTGCCCAGCCAACCWGTGTGCCCTCTACAAGAAGATAGATGCACATGCACATTTCTTTGCATCCCCTACCAGTAACACTATAAACCACTAGAAGAGATGAAACTGTGAAAAATTATCTCATGTTTCCCTAGCTGCCTCCTTTGCAGCAGCACAGGCGATGGTGCCATTGTTTTGGGTGCTCAATGCTGAAGTGTTTGGGATTTGGACACTGCCAACAAGCTGTTTGTGTGGCTTTCTTTAATATTCACCTATCCTAGTCATAAATGATTATTGGCTTAGAATTTTCTCCTGCGTGGCCATGGGCTCTTTAATAGGGGAGTATACTGGGCATGCCTACTGCTGGGGGCACTTAGGGACATAGTTTAGCAGGTGTTGAAGAGCTTATGGTTGGATTTGATAAACTTAAAGATCTTTCCAACCATAATGATTCTATGAGGCTAAACAGTGGCTTACACTGATGTCAGCAAAGCCTTCTGTGTGGTCTCCAATATTSTCCTCATAGCCAGCCTGGAGAACGTGGACTAGATAAGTGAACATCCCATGGAAGCCCATGGGAGCCCATGGAGGCAGGGAGATGGTCAAGGAGCCCTTGCAGAGCAAAGACCTGCACCTATCTTGCCAGGAGGCCACAGTGGGCCGCAGCAGGCCCCCAGCGCAAGGTCTTGATTCAGACATGCCCACGGGTCCTGTTTGATTCGTGCATTTGCGAAACAAGAGTGAGAAGCTGGAATAAAGGCTACCTGTGCCTCTCTCAAGGTTGAGGAGTCCTCAGGAAACCAAACCAACCTGCTTTAGGGCACATTGACTTGTTTCCCTAGTCTGGGGAGGACTTGCTGCTCTAGCCCAAATCCAGTTTTCCTCTTCATCATGAAGGCTGGATAAGATATTGTAAAATATGGTAAAACACCGCTCCGTCCCCGGCGCTGGGCTGTCCCTGCGTGCCCCGCTGCACCGGGGAAGGCCGCCCTGCAACCTGCATCTTCCCTCCATCGGGGCCGTGGCAGCTGGCGCGCTCCTGCGTGTGGCGTCTGGACACTTTCTTTCAGTTCTGCCCTGCGAGCACAAAGGCGTGGGTTATTTCTGTCCTTCCGTTTCTGCTTCGAGCCAGACTCCATCCCACAGCCCAGGCCAGTGGCCTGCCGAGCTCTTGCCGGGGTGCTCGTTACAACGAGCAGCGTGAAGAGCCGCTTTGGCCGCTATGGGCTGACAGGACTAGAGCGGGGTGAAGATCCTGGCAAGGAATAATTGCGTCCACACTGGATGGGCCACTTGCAGGCATGGGTGAAAACTGGGCGAGCAACGTCTGCCCTGGCTCTGGCACTGCRGGCACAGGGTGCTGTTTGCAGCATAAGGACTGAGCTTGGTGGTTTGCTTGGGAATCTGGACCTTGAAAGACACTTCAGACACATTCATCGCCCTTCTCCCAGCCACTGCTCCTGGGGTCTCAACCCGCTTTGCATCACCCCAGCAAGCTGTGTTCTCCTGGCCRCCTCAGGACTTTGCAGGCTCTCCGTGGTGCACAGCTTGGAGCAGAGCTGGGCAGCCGGGTCCAAGAGCCAAGCCTAGGCTCTGTGAACAGCATTTGATGCCTTCAGTGGAGACCACGAGCTCTGAGCCCACCGTGGAGCTTGCTGGTGCGTGCCAGCCYACCGTGAGAGGCTGCTGCCCAGGAGGGGTGCTGGTCACCTCCCTGCTCTGAACGCGGAGCACCCAATGTCACACGGCACTGTGGCACAACCAGCAAGAAGTGAGCACTGAACGTGCCTGTGTGGTCCTCCCTGGGCTTTTGCCTCGGTTGGAATGTGTCTTCCGGATTGCGCCCGGTTGGGCAGCGCTTGGTTTGGCCTCCGCTTAAAGGTGTCTTTCCTTAAGCCCGGGAGTTAATTGCAGTTCCCTCTTTTGGTACTTGTTGTTATTCATTCAAGGAGAGGAAAGAGGAAGTCCCATATTATGCCAGAAGGTTTTTCTGACGTATTTTCTGACATATTTTCTGATTTTTCTGACCAACAATCTCCCCAAATCAATGCAATGGTGCTTCCAAACAGGCTGGTGCTGAGAGGTCTCTTGGAGACTGAATTGGGCAAAGAAATCAATCGATAAAATGCACCCACACTGCAGAGTCCATTGAGATTAGAAGTCCTTATTCCAGAGGGATTTTTTTTTAATAGTGGGACAGGCAGTGCCAACCCTTCATATGCCCTGTGCCATGGCATTTTACTAAGCATGGAGCTGCTCGTGCTTTTCCATAAATGCCAACAGGAGGGGTGCAAATGGAGCATGCTAGCTGTGCCCATGCCCTGGGACCCAGGTCGCATGAAGTTTCTCAGCTCACACTGCGGCCAGTGCAAATAGCTTTGCATCCGTGTGGCTTTTTTGGTGGATCTGTGGCACAAGGTGCCTTATCTGCTTCCCCAGCACTAAGGCWCAGTATTATTGGCCCCAGTCAGCAGTGACCTGTAGAAGACAAGGAAAGAGTTTTCTCGCTTTGCTCTTAAAATAAAGATGCTTTGAGAAATAAGGAGAACAGAGCTGCTGCCTGCTGTGGGGCTGCTTTGAGCATGGAAGGCTGCAGCCTTGCGGGGCGAAGAGCTGTTGAGAGAAGGCCCTGGATCTCTGTGGTGCCTCCCCAGCTACAACCCGTCCGGGAGCACCATGTCTTCCTCAGATCTCCCGGATACAGGGCTGCTCGTGGGGCTAACACAGCCCGCTTCTGTGCAGAATGGGCACTGCAGCACCAGCTTGCTCGCTGCCCTTTGTGTGTGTGTGTGTCGTGCGCTGCTGCCCTGCAAGAGCCAGCGGAGCTGCTGGCTGGCAGCCTTACCCGGGGAAGCCTGCAGGGACAGTCAGCTGCTCAGCTGCTCTTCCAAGCAGCTTCTGGTCCTCTGGCTCAAAAGGGCTGCAGCTGGGTTTTAATGCCACAGTTGCGATGCCAACGTACCCTCAGAGATCCTGATCACTGCTGGTGGCTGCTTTATAGCCCATCCTCAAAAAAACGCAGCACTCAGCTCTGTGCTGCACTGCCTGGGCTGTGAACTGCATTGATCCCTGTGACGCACTGAGGAGACCTCCCTGTCTTGGGTTAAATCTTGCAGAGACAGGAGAGCTGCTTCCTCCAGCCCCCAAGCATCCACCGAGTCTCGCTTCATCAGCCGGGAATTTTGCTGTGGGACACAGAATCATAGAAGTCTTAAAGTTGGGAAGGACCCTCAGAGGTCATCTAGTCCAATGCCCTCCACACGCAGGGTCACCTAGAGCACGTGGCACAGGCTGCATCCAAGCGGGTTTTAAAGATCTCCAGAGAAGGAGACTCCACAACCTCCCTGGACAGCCTGTTCCAGKGCTCTGKCACCCTCACTGTCAAAAAGTGTTTCCTTAAGTTCCTGTGGAGCTTT